GCCAATAAGTCACTATAAAAGCTCTCTGCTTAAGCCTTAAGTAAGAAAAATTTCCTTTTTTTTTTTTTTTTTTTTGGAGGTTTTCGTTATAGGGTGCATGCGCTCGCCAGAAAGACAGAGAGAGATGTCAGAGACAGAAAGTGAGAAATCACCTCCCAGGGGGGATGGCCATGCCGCAATCCCTTCTCCTCCATTCTCCTCTCGGGATCTTGGGTACGCACGTACATGTGCCCAGCATGAGTTTAAGTCACCAGGTCCGGGACTCAAACCGTGGTCGACTACATGGGAGTCCAGTGACACAGTCATTACGCTAACTTCTGGTCTCAAAATTTCTTCTTTTATCAGTAAGCATTAATTCCAAAAGAAGAAAAAAGAACATTGTCCTCTGAGAAAAATCAATCATAGATTCAAGATTTGCAATGTTTTCATCCCCATCTTTTTTGATAAAATTCAGAATTAGAAAGAATTACTGGCCATATTTTTATCTGCAGGTAACTTCTAAATTAAGGTTTGCAGTGTGTCCCTTCTTGATGAGTGGCAATAACTACAGGGCCATTCTGGCACACTTTAGAATGAATGTAATGTGAAACCAATCGTGATCTTGGTTACTAAAGAGAAATCTGCACAACCTCCAATTTCAAATATCCACAACAGAATTCCACACAGTTAGCAAAGCTCTTTTAAAATTGCTTAGTTCTGCCATCTAATATCATTTCCTACTGAAGATTTGTGCCCGAACTGTAAAAGACTGGTTTTTTTTTTTTAATTGAAAACACAACATTCAGTATTGTTTTCTCAACTGCATATCTGGAATTTGGAAATTCTCCAAGGTCCATCTTGTGTGCAAAAGAAGCCTCAGCATCTAAATCTGGGAGTTCATGTATATGACTAGTTTTCAGTTGATGTTGGCAATAAACATATGTTGATGTACAAAATTTGATGAAATGAAATAACTTCATTACAATGACCAAAAAATGTATTATTACTGAAATCCTCTTTTCAAAATGTGTTTTTAGTATCTAAACATTTTGACTAAAGAGCTAGAAGTGATCTGTAAACTTACATAGCTCAACTTCCTTTAGAATTTCATTCCTGAGATCAAAATGAACTCTACACATTGTATTTAAAGTGAACATTAAATCCAATATATCTGCAAAGCAAAATAACGAATTTCATCTGCAGTCTGAAATGCTCTGACCCAGAACTATAAACTTTTTCCAAGTTCCACATAATGAACATCTTATGGATACAGTACATAATAATCATTTACCAAGTCATGTAAGTTACTGAAAATAAGTGAGGCAAACAACTGCCATTCATTATTCCTGACTCCAAAGACTGCTGGGTCTGACTTGGATATATACACAGCTGAACACACACTTCCTGGTTATATGCAATCTGAACAGATAGACCAGCTTTACAGGCCTGACCACAGAGATTAATAGCTTTAGCCAAATAATGTGGTAACCATGTGAACCTGGTCTGCTCCAGCTTGTTTGTGAATCTCTCAGCAAGGCTCAACATGCCGTTATCTGCATCTTGTTGCCAGGAAACACAACATCGCTTTGGAATACAAGGAAAACCAGGTTGTAATGATCATAGGTCAACTTCCCAAAAGCCTAGTTTTTGGTACTAAGTTATCTATAATCTTTCAATATTTCTTCCTATAGGCCACAAGGATTTCACTTACTAGAAATTAACAGTTAATACTTTTTGCTATTTTATCATGGCAGGACTACTTGTTACCACTAACACTGCAGTAGCAGCAATAGTTAATTGCTATTAATATTATATGATAGTAATAATTCACTCACTTTTTGCTGTTGTCAGTTCGACATTGGTTTACTTCATTAAAATTAATTTGAAAAACCACCCACTGCAACAACTTTATAACTTATCCAACAATGCATGTTTATTGACCTATATCTACATCTATTCTTCACCAAAATAATTACCAAAGGATGAAATACCTCATATACTGCTCACCTAAGAGTTTCTGGATTTTCTGGGACCAAAACTGTCATTTTGACAAAACAATCATTTTGCCTTGCCTTGGTCACAGTAACAGAATGTAATGTGTTAGATAATAATCCTGCCAGCTTCTTCCTGCCCAATTCAAACAGACAGAAACTTTATGTACCAAAATGCTGAAGTTATCCAGCAGACTAGAAATCTGCTTCATAAGACTGAAGTAGGAGGCTATGGTTCTGCAGATATTTGCAATCTGGCAATGGAAGGATTAAAATGGCTTTGAGAGTATATAAAATTAATTACCCTTGACATTGCAATTAAAATTGCTAGCTCACGGGCAACAGAGATTCTGGACAACACCTTATAAGAAAGAGTTTTTTTAAAAAGCTTATTTGTGTATTTCTTCCATGAGAGAGACAAAGAGAGAGAGAAAGAGGGTTACTGCTAACAAGGTCTTTACACTGCAATCTACTCCCAGCTTCAGAAAGCATGTATAAGCCTAGTACGTAAAAGGAGAACTGAGGATATGAACCTGGAACCTTCCCATGGGGCTTCAGCATCGCAGAGTGTTGCATTACCACTGTGCCACACTTGGTCCAAACAATAACAACAAAAAGTCTTAAGGCAAAAATGAAAAAAAAAATTTTTTTCCAATGTTAGTTTTAAAGCATAAGTTAAAAATACTCAGGTTTATTATAAGATTTTTGCTACCTTAGCAAGAATCTTGACTGTACTGTATTATCAAGATAATGTATTTAGTCAGGAAGACTACATTCTTGATATGATCTTACTTTTATGCCAAGTGATCATCAATATAATAATACCTTTGAACTTGGGTTTTATACTATTTCTCATCTTATTCTACACTTCTCTTTTGAAACACAAGAGACAAAGTTCTAGTCACATAATAATTAAAAGACACATGGACCTGTGTACTATATAACAAAAACTGAAATACTAAAAGAAACACTTGTTCAGTACTAAATTGAAGAGAGATTTGAAAACAGAAAGCCTAAGTTTTTGTAGTGCCAATAATGCTCTAGCACTATGTCAGAATACAGAAGCTTTTGACATTAAGGCTCACAGAACTTGGAAACAGCTTAATGCCACTATTTGCTGACTCTTCGGACACATGGGTAGTGTAAAACAACTTATCTGTGAACAAACATGACTCTGAAGGCAGTTTATCTCTTGGACTTCTAGACTGGGATACATGTTATATTTCCCCTCCCATTTGGGCCATGCTTCTGTACTACACCAGGCCATTTCATGTGAAAACTGTCAGGTTGCCCTCATGGTGTCCCAAGTCAGGCAACATAGACAGAAATGCTCTTCTCCCCCACGTAATTTTAATCATTGACCTTGGTCATATACAAATATCTATTAATATTACACATCTTAACCCTTTCTACACTACAGTAAAAACAACTTAGAAATAAAAAGATCAACATTTACTATACAGACATGTTAACATTAGCAGCTTTACATGCGGCAACTATCATTTCTTCATTTTAAAGTTCAAATAAAGAATTCAGTTCCAAACATGTCAGTTCCCCGTCAGTAAATACTGCTTAGACATCCATACTGAAAGAACCAAATTATGTATGAGGAGCTTCAAAAAGTTTGTGGAAAAAAGGTATGTATTCACCTGGTGCCCTCAAAAAAGAAATTCATGCACTTTTGTCATAATACTCATTTCCATGAACTTTAAGCAGACCACTTCATACATACATTGTGTATCAAAACTTGAGGATAATTAGTGATAAATAAACATAACCATCAACATAAATCTTCCCTTTACTCATTGTTAAGACTTTCCTAGGTTTAAAATAAAAATCCCAAATTGTAGTATGATTTATTCTATCTCTAGAATAACCCTAATGACAAAAAGCTTCAAGAAAACTAACAAAACAGATTTAACATGTTTAGTCATGATTCAGAAGTATGGGAGGAACTTCTGAATCATTCAAATAAAAAGTGTTTTATGCCATTCAAATTGAAGAGGGCCACAAAAATCTCCAAACAACGTTATTTTCCTTTAAAAAAATAAGTCGTTCAGTATGTAGAATTTTAAAATTAGATAGATTAGGTACTCATTATTTATAAAATTCACCATGGACTTTTTTATTTTTTGAAGAAGTTTTTGCATCAGGGCGTGTGCTTGCCAGAAAGACAAAGTGAGAAATCACCCCCCCAGGGGGGATGGCCACTCAGCAATCCCTTCTCTTGCATTCTCCTCTCGGGATCTTGGGCACGCACGCACACGCACCCGGTGTTGAGTTTCAAGCTGCCAGGTCCAGGACTCGAGCTGCAGTCGACTACATGGGAGTCCAGCGACATAGCCATTACGCTAACTGCTGGTCTCACCAAGGACTTTCTTTTAAAAGCAAGCTCTCCTGTGTGATTAAAATGGTATTTGATTCACAAGAACCAATGTATGTGCAACTTCTCAGTCACATGCATACTAAACATCTGAATTATTCAAACTTTCACTGTATGGTTAAAGAGCCCACATTCAACCACCATGAAACATCAAGACAGCATAAAGCCAACAGTAACAGTTTACTACCGAAACCATCCTACTAAGCTTTTAGCATCTTTACCTTCCTTCTCTACAGCATTTAACAAATTTTACAAGTTGTTATAATACGTACCCATACTTCATTCTCATTCTATCATTTTCTGGGTTACAGTAAAATCTTTCCAAGTGCTCCTGGGAATCATTAGATACACTCTGCCACTTTTGAGTAGTTGTCCTCTTGACCTGCCAGTGATATGGCAAGACTGTGTGGTGCTTCAAACAATCCCTGCCATAAATACAAGTGCCCTGCAGAAAGTCCATGCAAATTTCAATTCCATTTTCTTGGTGAGTATGATACTGCAGCTGGTTTACCAGCTCAAACACTAGGTCAAGGGAAGCCTCCTCACTTTTGTCCTGGAAGAGCTCAGTACTCAATTTATCACTGGTGTCCAAAATGTACTGGATTGTAAAACTATTGTCTTGGAAAACCCCTGGAACATAATCTATCACTTTGTCTATGCAGTCAGGACTAGTAGGAACATCACCTGAAACCGGATGCAAAAGGTCAGTCTGGAAGTGCCCTGCTGTAGAATCTGACACTGTTCCACTGATGGTTTCTGGTGGAAAGTTCTGATCCTGGATTGGAACCACTTGTTCTGGAGTATCAGTGGAAGGATGGGCTTCTGATATTTGGCTTCCAACATTGGTCCTATCAGGAATCAAAACAGATATATTGTTTTCTGCTGGTGGGCATGATGGACTGATATCCAGGGTTTTTTTCACCATAGGTTCATGTAAGCTATTATCATCTGCAGTCTGGTTTCTAGATCTAAAAACCCCATCAAGTGAGCCAGATTCTAGCAAAGTGTTCAATATTGGTCTCAAAGACCTAAGGGTTCCAGTTCCCAGTCTCTTCTGGTCCTGTTTCTTCTTAAAACAAGTCTTCAAAGGAGTGATCTTCTCAGAGAGTCTCATTTGGCATGAAAAGTCATCGGGAGGAGAGGGAGGCTGCACTACACAGTCTGGCTCAGGTTCAGTGGTTTCCATTTCCATGATGTGGATTAGCTCCAATTGCTCCTGAGAGTCTAAAAATCCTACAAGGGAAGGAAGGGAGATGATCACTTACAAATCAACAACTAGACCCCATTCATTCATTAAAATGTTTTGTTTTGGTCTGTGACTAAGTCCCTGAAATCACTCCCCTTGTACCATATTAAGTCTTTACAAGTCAACTTTACATACTATTGAGAAATCAAGACTCTAAAGCAGCCAAGGCTGTCTTTCAACAGGCCTTTTTACCCGTAAATGTAATATACAACAGTCTGTAGTTCTGCTAATGTATGAATTTTTACTGTAAGGCTAGAGTGGGGTGAGAGATGAAAGGTAGAAACAATTGTGTCTAGAGATGATGGTGAGAAAACTACATCTCCACTCAGCTTTGTGGTTCTCTTCAGTTGTTTATATCTCATGAGTTGACAAAAACTTAAGTTTCTTGGGAACCAGCAGTTAGCGTAATGGCTATGTCACTGAACTCCCACGTAGTCAACCGCGGTTCTTGTCCCTGACCCGGTGGCTTAAAACTCACGCCAGGCGCGTGTGCGTGTGTGCCCAAAATCTCAAGAGGAGAATGGAGGAGAAGGGATTGCGGTGTGACCATCCCCCCTGGGGGGTGATTTCTTGCTCTCTGTCTCTATGTCTCTCTCTGTCTCTATGTCTCTCTCTGTCTGGCGAGCACACGTGCCCTATAGTGAAAAAAAATCTCTCCAAAACAAACAAACAAAACTTAAGTTTCTTTGTGGGAAAAAATAAGTTTATCATGAAGGATAAACTTCAAAGTTAAATACTGAGTAAATTTGGGGTGTGAAGATAAATACAGGAAGCAGGGGCATTCAATTAAAATGTTATTTGGGAAAAGTCAGACAAGTATTTCTATATTCAGAAATGTCCAACAAGAATATTAAGGGTCTACTTTTGCAATCCTCAAAAACATTAACATTACTGAAGGAATACCAGGATGTGTTCAGAAACAGAGGCCACATCAACAATAACCACTGGACACTACGTTAGAAACCAAACGCAATTTCCTAACACGGAAAGGACCCCCTAGTCCTTGTCTTTAGAAAAGTTACATATATGCATTTTTTAAAAAGCAAATGAAGGCACACTCTAGAAAAATAAAAGAATATAAACACACACACACACCAAATTTCATATTTCTAATAAACTAAAAGGGACTAGAAAAGGGCTTTCTTCCAATAATCAGAACCCTTAAAAAAATTGAAACTTAAAAACATTTACTGAGACTGTGCCAAGTGAGAAGGGGGATGGTGATGAACAATTAATCCCTTTCTCTCTTATCCAATAGATTTGCAAGAGATCTTTGATGCAAGGGCTCATGACTTAATCAAGGATGCAGCCTAGACGCCCAGTGCAGTGCCTAGTACAACGCACACAGTGGGTGTCTCAGAAATACTATGTTGGCTGAATTACTGGGGGGGAAAAGCACACATTTAATAATTTCTCTTTATTGCTTATAGGTTACCAACAACAACGAAAAAGTTAAAATTGAGTGCCTGAAAAAATGAATATTAAAGACCTACCAGGAGTCATAAATCTATGTTTAAAAAGTATGTAATTACACTCAGAAAAAGAAAAAGCATAGGAAGAAAGTGTTAGTCTGCATGGTAAATACAAAACGAAAAGGTAGAAAAAGGAGAGTTCAGTGTGAGCTGGCATTGTTAGGGAAAGCTTCAAGAAGGAGGGAATCTGACATGAGACATAAATCAACTGGAAAGCAGCCAAGCCAGGCGTTATTATTCATCATTTGGTGCTCTCGCCTCAAGGCACAATTGGCACAGATTGCGGTATTCCCTCTCCACCACACCAAACCGGCCTGTGCCTTCCCCCACGCACAAATTAAGCACTCCTATCACACCCTATCAAAGCAAGATCGTCGACACTAAACCAATTTATTTATACGTATGTACACATACACAAACACAACTTTTCTCAGTGTTGCCTTTCGTTAAACTCAGAAACAAAACCGGGAGGAAGCAGCAGAGAGGCGGAGTGGCTGGAGGGAAGGGAGAAGCCACTAGAACCTAGTTCCTCAATTGGTTTGCATAACAGAAAAATAAAAGACTGTAAGGACACTTCCTCTAGTCCTCTGCTGCAGGCGTCCCACGGCGCCACCTTCACCTTCGAGACGCCCGGGTTCCCCTGCACGCCCCGCGGATTGCACCTCCCCAGGAGCCGCCCGCTCCCGGCCCTGC